TACAGATTTCCCCAGCAAATCCACAACTGCAGTCGTTGATATTCCTCGTGCAGTCAGTGGTCAGACGCGAAGAGAGATGGGCAGCACTAGACAGGACGCGTACTGAATTAATTTAAATTTGGCAGGAATGGGTCGTCTCGCAGGAAATGCCATGCATGTGCAAGTTGCTGCATTACAGGAGCAATGAAAGGCTCAGGATGAACATAATGTATTGCAGTGCCTACCTACACGTACTAAGGTGCCGCCATTTACTAGTTTCACCATGCCCTCGCAACCCAAGAACAGACAAGAGGCCAAGAGCACGTACGTCCGCCTCACAATTGGGCAGAAGATCGAGATTAAAAACTGCTGGGTACACTCTGGTATCGTGCCACGTCCGACCTCAACAATGGCGGTGCGTCATATTCTTGCTTACTAGTCAAAACTTTCTAATAAATCAATACATTTTCCTGGATCAGATTTCCTGTGTAAACTTTGTAAACTCGGACGATTTATTGGTCCCACCTTTGTGGATTTGCCGGGGAAATCTGTACGCATGTTTTGCTTTAAGGCACCACACTTCTTAGCAAGATGGTGTCCGGCTCAGCAGGGTAAGTACAGTACGCTTCAATGACCTGGTCGAACTGGATTATTTTCCTACACAAACTCTAACGTACTTGAAGTAGACACTAAGGTCAGTTTTGGAGAGTTTTTTTTTTTTTTTTTTTATAAAAGACACAATTTACTGTACATGCGCGGGTATAATAGTCGTCTGGTGGATGAAGCTGCGAATCATTTGGAATATTACGTAGATTTAATGGTGTTGATGTTGATATGGTGTTCGACGAGTACTCGTGGGTCCACCACGAGGACTCAACGGATGATGGCGAAGGCTCGGAGGTTACCAGAAAGGACCTATCAGCCGATCGTGAAGCAGATCCGACGGCGGCAGGAAGCGCAGAGGACTGTGAGTGGACGAGCATAGTGAAAGCAAGTTAATGAGGCGTTTGAGGTAAGCAAGTTGATGAGAGGAACACAGGGAGCGCAGGGAGCACAGGAGAGGATAGGAATACTCGCGAGCAGTTTAAGGAGATAAATCTAATCTCACTTCAGCTTTTGCCCCCTACTACGAGCACTCAAAACCAACAAATGGCCACACAATCCATTGAAGTATCAGACTATTAACTAACTGTAAATTATTGGACGGATAGTAACATTATGGCGCGTCGGTCGTTCTGTTGTTCCATAGTTAAAGTGAAAGGGTTGACTCTTTCACTACCAGAGATGAATTGTGGATCCGCAGCGGCGGTCCTATTAGGTGTATAAAGTGGGCGAGTATAATCAAACCTCATATATTGTGTCGGAGGGGATGCTTTGGCATAGGTTCGCAGCGGACCCGTAATAATTAATTGTACCTATTTAGACTTCTCATTCTACAGATTTTGTAGGACATGTACCCATCTGCTCGCAGATTTGTAGGACACATAGTCCTCAAATTTCCATTTGGAAATGATTTTATCAATATCAACTGACAAGGGTTTATTGAGCCACTGCAAAGGTTAGTTTTTTCGGAATTTGTAGGACACGTGTCCTGGATTCCTCCCATAGAATACCTGACTTCATAATTTCACACTTTGCCACCATGACGAACGTCAATTGGAGCCAGCTGGAGAAGAAAGTGGCGGAGATTAAACGCAACACGGTGAGCGCGCGCTCACGAGCTGTGTACCAAAACTCCTACGGTCGATTTGTTGCCTGGGTAGTCCTCCACAAACCCCAACTACTGACACCTGCCTTCGCTCAGCGTCTAGGTGACGTATCGGATCTCTCAATCAAACAGCTCAGGAAGACTCATCTAAACCTCGACGAGGCTAACCCACCTCTTCAGTTTGATGTGCTACAGTCAGATGTCTTTGAGGCTTGGCTATTAACGCTGGAGAAGCGCGACGGTAGTACTCTTTGCTTCTCAGCGCTAAACACTCATCGCGCCGGTCTATTCAACCTCTATCGTGACTATGGATGTGAAATGTCTGCAGCTATGGAGAAAGATTTGCGCCAGTATTTCAAGGGGATCAAATGGGAAATGGCTACTGCAGCAGCGTGAGGAGAAGCTCGTGCAAAAAGGGGCAAGGATCCACTTTCTTTTGAGCTATATATTTTTTGCTGTGAGCAGCTCCTCCAACAAACACCAAAGGACATGCTATTTGCGAGGGCGTACATGGTAATTTCTTCGAATCTCATGTGTAGATCTGCAAACGCTTTTGGCATTCGCCACGGCCACATGGAGTGGAGTGGAGATGCCCTGGGTGTGTACTTTGCACACCAGAAAAACGACCAAGAAGGCCGGAGACCTCGTGACCCAAGACGCATCTACACCAATCCATTACGACCGGCTATCTGTCCCGTGCTAGCTTTGGCAATATTTTGGGCTACCTCG